AAAGTAAAATAAAAAAAACAATAGAGAAAAGAAAGAGAGAAAGAAAGAAAAGTGAATAAATTTAAAAATTAAAATAAAATTGAGTAAGAGTTGTGAAGTTATTTTATTATTTTTTATTTATATTAATTATTAAATTAAATTTATTTTATTAAAATTATTAAAAATATAATAAATAAATAATTTTAAAAATTTCGAAGCTACGATTCATAAATTCATTACCCTCCATCTCTGATTCAAAAATATAATAAATAAAAAATTTTAAAATTGAAGGGGCCCTTACTACCCTCGGGCCCTACTGAGACGGGGTTCTACATGATTTGTTAGTGTACGCCAACCTGTTTTTCCTTGACTTTGGACCCGTGAGAGAGAACTGACTTGGCTTTTGCGTTTACCGACATGTTAGTCGTAGCTGCCATTGACTTGGACATTCCCAGCTGCAGATTCAGTCTCAAGTCTTTTACGATGGGCTTTTTCACTTCACAGCTATTTATTAATACGTGTTTTCCACGTTGATATTTATTTATTTATTTATTTATAAATAATAATTATATATAAGTACAAGTGTTTTTCAAATATGAATAGTTAAAATTTTATAATAACAATACATGAATCCAATGAATATTGCTAATAAATAAGCTTGCAAATTGTTGGAAAATGAATGTAAGAAGTTGCATAAAGATTTTTTTTTTATGCATAAGTTGAATCCAATTTAAAATGGGAAAAGATGGAATATCGATCTTTGCCATAACATTACAATCAATACACAGGTGACAATATAAGAAAAAAATTGATTAAATAGAATCTATCTTGTAATGCCACTCATATACAGCAGCCGAAGAACGAGAGGGATTATGGCAGTTGTAAAATGTCAAAGTACCTCCTGTTCCTTATTGTGTCTACCTTGGCTAGACCATCTGCAAGTGAGTTGGCCTCCCTTCATTAGGGTGTGTTAGAATTTTAGATTGGAACATCTCCTTTTTGCTGCTTCAAGCTGGTTGGAGAAGAGGCACAACCTCCATGGTACACTCTGGTGGTTTCCAACCCAAGCAATGGCATTCTTTGAATCACTTTTCTACAATGAGTGCATGGGAGTTTGCACATTCAGAGGATAGGAAGAAAAACGAGACCCTCTTTTTATGGCAACGAGTTTTTGCATAGTTTAATTCTTCAATCCCAATGTTAATGGCAAGAACTCCTGGAATGCGACAAGTATGATCATGTAAGGCTCCTCCAACCGTAGCTGGAACCTGGTTTTCCAAGAGCCGAACCATCCAAGTTGAGCTTGAGAGAGCCATACGGGGGACCGGGGACATGACCAGTTTTCACCTACTCTTTGGATCGTGAGATGTGGATGCATGTGTTGTCCCTTTGGAAGTCCGCAATAGACAAGTAACTGACATGAAGACCACTTCCCTTCATACCATATGGCCAGGCGGGTTTTGATATAGCGTCTAGTAGTTCCAACTGATCAAAGAGTACTTTATTATTGAAAACCATGCTATTATATATGTTGGAGCCACAAGGACTAGATAATCACTTAAAACAGCAATTGTCATTTTCTAGCTGAGCTAGTTTTCGGTACAGCGTTTTGCTAAACATTAAAGAAGGACTAAGTGTCTTTGGGGCTGACCCATTGAACTCCCCAGTGGCTACGTTAGTGCATCGCATCCAAATTTTCCTTGAGAGGGGGTTGGAGCAAAAGATGATAAATCATTTTTGGACTTTCCTTGCAAATGGTACACAGAGAGGCTTCCACGTTCAAAAGACCTCACTTGGCAAGCTCGGTTTTAACTGTTATTTTACCTTTGGCTGCTTGTGTTCAGAAAAATTAATTATATTCAATTTTTGGTAGAGCTATAAGTTAGACCATATCAGTTTCCAAACATAGTTTGGTGTGTGAGTGAACTCAAGGAAAGTAAAACCTAAAATTGCAAGTCTACCGTTGCTGCCTGGCAGCCAATCTTTGCTTGGAAACCCCCTTTCGCTAATTGTTTCCTCTAAAAATCCTCTCAAACCAAAAAGAAATTGTTAGCCTAATTAAAACCCTATTCTCCCTTCCTATTTTTGTCACCTTTTCCTTTATGTTTTTTTTTTTGGATTTTATTTTTTCTGTATTTTTGTAATTGCTATTGCATTTATATTTTTGGGGTTTGAATTTTTTTTTTCCTTTTTTTACTTTGCTTGTGTGGGTTTTGATTGAGTTGAGATTTAGTGATTGGTTGTGGTTTGGGATTTTTTCGGCTACTGTTTTAGTCTTGATGGATTTTTTTGGTGATGATGGAGATATGGGATAATCTAGTATTGGTATGACTTTTTGAGCAGTGGGTACTTGGTTTTGGAACCTAGGGTCCCAAGGGTGTGGGAAATGATGGTTTCTAAGGAGCCAATTGGGGGAGGCTTCATCTAGTCACGGTTTTTTTTATTTTTTTTGTGGTAATTTGGACATAAGTTCATCTATTTTGATTATAATGATTCTTTTAACTGTTTTGACAGCATAATTTAAAAATGAGTTGACATATTTAATGAAATGATACTAAATTCGATAAGATTATGTTACTCTACTTGCTGAAATATTGTGATTTTTTATCCCTTCATTTACATTTTGAAGATGATTAAATATAACATCTTTAGACTTCAGGGAGTTGAGAGATCAATTTAAAAAAGTTACTTTAGTATCATGACATTACTAGTTATGTCGAAACTCTTATTAAACACTTAAGTTTACATTTTATTTAATTTATCATTTTTGAGATTTTAGATGAGTTGTAATAACTTATACATACGAACATGATTTAAGCAAATTGTCAATATGACTTTAATTGAGGATTTTTATATGAATAGTATATAGAAAAATTTTGTATTAGTTTGGACCATTGCTTCATAATGATATGATCGTGTTATGTTTGGGTTATGAGACTTGATACATTAGCCATTGATAATATTTTCAATGACATATAACAAGTCAAGCGTGTGGTCAATGACAGAGTCAAGATTTTGTGTTTAAGGGAGGCAAAGATAATGTTTATAAACATTTATACTAAAAGTTCAACATTTGACAAAAATATAAAGTAACTCAGATAAAATAAATTCATGTGAAAATCACATAAATAACTTCAATTATGTGTTAAGTACAAAATAAAGAATTAAAGGAAAAAAGATTCAAACTATACTCTTTAAGTAGAGAGATCATAAACTAATCAATGTGCCAAATGTTCATATATTAAATATTTATATATATATATATATATATATATACATGTTTAATAAATATGCAAAGAAAGCTAAGTTGGTATTCTCGAAGAGTCTAGTTAAATAAAAAAGTGGATCACATGAGATAAATCTTTGCCGTTGTCAATCCAAATTAAAACAAGATTAAAATCTCATAATGAAAATTACTAAATTACTGAATTACTAAAATAGTTATACTACGTAATAAGCACCCGTAATTAATATTATAATACGAACCCTAAAAGTTAAAACTCCACGTTAACACAGACGAGTCTTTTGTGGTATTAGGAATTATATTACAACAATAATTGTACTTCTCATAATAATAGATAAAATAATTAATTTATGTCCAAGTAATTAATCCACGTCCAGCACTCCAAGTCCTCTTTGTAATAAGACCCTGTTCCCATGGCAAGGATTCGGTAGGTTTTTAGATTCAGTCGCTAATCACTATACATGGATTTCATTCAATCATTATATACATATATATCTTAAAGATGGCTTTTTCATCCACATGCAGGTAGAGAAGGCTTCCATGGAATTGAAGGACATGGAAACTGTTGAGAGTAAAGATTTTCCTCCTGACCTCATATCTCAACGGCACCCTTTGCTTACTATATCTCATGGAAAACAACACCAAAAGAAAACATTTTTCAGTATATCACGTGATCGGCATTACCCTGGAATCATGCCCGAGGTTGAAAACAAATTAATATGCACCTCTTCTTTTGGATGGTTAGTTTTGAAGGAGGACTCCCATGAGTGTTGCCTTCTAAATCTTGAATCCAGGGAAAAAATTCAGCTTCCTCCTCTAGACATGAATAGCTCCTTTTGCATTCTCACAGCATCACCTAGTGATTGCAATTGTTACATTGTCTTCATCCGAGGATAAAATTATCTTCAAATTTTGTCGTCCGGGTGATCAAGAATTTTCTTCACAGACCTTTGAAGACATTCCTTGTTGTTTGTCAAGTGTTGCATTCTTTGGAGGAAAGATTATTTGCTCATTATATCCGGAATCGTCTTTGCTTACAGCTGAGATTGTAGGACCAACTCTTCAATTTTCAGACTTGATCACGAAAGAAGTTCCGCCATTGTTTTCGGTTCCTAAATTGTTTTCTCAAAGTCATCTGGTAGACTTTTCAGGAGAGATGCTGCTTGTTTACAGGTTTCGTTTTATCAGTGGATCATGTTGGGACATGGGTTTTAGAGTTTTCAAACTTGACTTCTCTAAAAGGGCGTTGGAGGAGGTGATCAGCATAGGAGAAAATGCCATCTTTCTTGATGAAGATCATGGCATATGTTGTCCAGCCACTGATCAATCTGAAATAAGGTCAAACGCAATATACTACACTGAACGTGGGCAAATATACCTATATGTCTTCGACTTGGAAGACAGAAGCATCACAACGTATTTGCCTCGTCGCGATGGAAGGAAACCCTACCCTCTCTTTAACTGAGTTATCTTGCCTGGAAAAGATTAGTTGTAGGATTTTAAAGTCTTGTTTATTTTCCTCTTGGGCATCCAGGCTTTGTTATTACTTGATGCTTATGTGCATCTGTTGACAGTTATTGTATGATTTCACCAAGTGGAGAGATAAAATTTTGATCGTCCTTATATTTACTTTCTCTTTTTATTTTGTGCCTTACTTAGATATGATATGCTCTGCTTTTACGCTATGTTCTGTTTCGGTTTCGAATGACCTCTATTGAGAGAACAAACTATATGCTTTCTGAAAAAAATGCGTTTGCTTGTAATTGCAGCAAACATAAATTAGAAAATTAACATTAATTTCATTCACAACCCAAAAATCATTATATTTCTTTCCCCTATGGTGCATTACCATAACATGAAATGATTCAATACTAAACAAATTTACAACTCACTTAGAAGAAGTTGGTGAACTAATATCAAATTTAGACCTCCGTTCGCTGAGTTTCATGTACAAACCCTGCAACAAAAAGCTCCTTGTCAACAAATCTATGTGATGAGTTCATATGCTTAAGAAACAGGTAGTTTATCAGGAGAATTACATTTGTTGTATGTATTGTGGCTCCGGTGGTCATACTAATGTTTTGATCAGGAACCAGCTCAAAATTCAGGTGTTGAAGAAAAATTGCAAGAGCCACAATAGCTTCCAGTAAAGCAAACTGATCACCAACACACTTACGAGGCCCTCCGCTAAACGGAATGAACCTGGGGAACACGTTTTAATATATTATCAGCATATTGATACAATAGACTAATGTAAAGCAAATGAGAAGAGGACACCAGGGAACTGAACTAGTAGAAATTTTGAGTACCTGTAATCTGTATTTGTTTCATTAGGGACTGGGCTTCCCAAGTCAAACCTTTCAGGCGCAAACTCTTCAGCTCTCTCCCAGACCTGGGAAAGAAAGAGAGAGAAGTGACACACTAAGTATAACATAGCAATATGCAGCTATTGATGCCAAAGAAAATGGAAGATTTTAATAATAAATCTCCCTGATTTACAGGCGAACATATTGACTGGATTAGAAATTTTAAAACTCAAAATGTTTACAATTTGAAGGAAACAAAAATTTTTACAAGATCAATATGCACTCTACGAATTGAACAAAAAGAGAGGGCAGGTACACTTTGAGATGTAGGATGCGAATTAGGGGAAATGAGGAATTTCACATCATGGAGCAAACCTGTTTCCTTCTAGCAAGTTGTGAAGGTGAAAATTTACTGAATTTCAAATTTACCCAAAATAAATTAAGTAATTTGCATCCTTCAGTCAAGCAAAACTTCATGAAATTAAAAAGCAACCGGCACATCTAACTAGGAAAAAATATTACAAAATGCAGAACATAAGCTAGAACCTGTGAAGAATGATGTATATTATATACTGAAATCATTATGTCTTGACCAGCTTTAACTTTATAGTTTCCAGGAAGAATGTCATCAACTTGAGCTCTTCTTATCAAGACCTAAGAGTACATCAGAAAAAATTAAGCCAATTAGTAAAGAAGATCTAATAGTAAAAAAGTTACTAGGTCAGTCTTTATTGTCTGTTTGGTATCAAATTAATTTACTTTAAAGGAAGCTAAAGTACAGGTTAAAACTTACAGGAGGGTGTGGGTATAGACGCAATGACTCAGTTATGCATCTAGTTAGAAACTTGAGATCCTTTATGTCTTCATAGGCAGGAGGCCTTCCCTTCAAGACTCTGTCAACTTCTTCTTGTGCTTTGAGCAATATGAAGGAATCCTGCATTACAAGATGGAAGAACGAAGTAACGTTCGTCACATTCTCATTTTAGATAACATCCCTCATCAGCTATATCTATGATTTCTAAGCAAAAAATTGATAAAACATGCATAGTCATGATTCATTAAATGCTAGACGCTAAAGGCTTTCAAGATTTTTGGCAGATGCCAGGGAATGTAAAGCTTGAAAAGGTTACTAAGAAAGTTAGAACTGTTCTAGATTTTTAATTGTGATGCATTTTAATGGTAGAATGCCATTATGTTACCAATTGTTGATAGTTAAGATACAGGCCTGATACTATTTGATGACCGCAAAAGATACATCTGTCATGTGCATTGTTGTAATGTGTAATTGTGCGCTCCCAGAGACTTTTACTACAACCTAGCTGCCTCTCACATTTGCCACATACAGGATGCTAAGAACACATTGGCCTCTGGGCTTATCCAGCAGATGGGGAAAGTTAAAATAGGGAAAAAAAGCAGATGGGCCTTAAGTGAATTATGCTAAAAGCAGTTTACTGTCACTTAACATAAAACTTTAGATTTCTGGAAATGACTAGAACTGCAAAAGAAATCCTTAGTAATGTGATGCATGGGGCAATGATAGAAGTCAAAACCCCATGTTAATCTGGCTATCATAAACATTTGGCTCCCAATTTACTCTTACCAGCAAATTTCATCAATCCCTGCAAACAAAGGAATCTTCACAAAGCACAAGCAGGATATCGACGACAGAAGCCAAACATGACAAAACCATTGTTCAACTTACGAATTTCTTTTCATATTCTCTGACATTGTTATTTTGAGCTAGTTATATTTCCATTATGAAAGTACTAGCCTGGACTATAAGCAAATATGCAGTGTGACATAAACCGGGGAGAAGCAGAAGTACTTTCACACTGTAAAGGACAGAGTTTTGCTTTGCAGCTAAACTCCAAGATAGCAAATTGAACAACAAATTAAGCAGACAGAGGAAAAGTACCTTACTTAGAAGATACAGTGTCCATGTCAGTACTGAACCAGTAGTCTCATGACCTGCAACTAACATTGATAAAAGGTCATCTCGTAATTGCATGCTTGAAACCTGTAACAGATGGAAGCCATCATCATAAGACCATCAAGCAAAGTGTCCACAATAAAGGAAAAGAAGGATTGGGGTAAGATTCCTTGAAAATTTACAATTAAAGTCTTCTATATCAACAAAAAGAAAAATTGTAGTTAACAGCTAAACCACAGGCAGATCTTATACACATGAATTTGCTGTCCAATATAAAAAGGTTGTGGCCAAATAATTCCTTGAGTAGGATGCTCTCTTAATTACATAAATGTCTTATTATTATGGTTTCATAACCAAGTATTTGGAGAGTTGTACAAAAATTTATCTGATTATTATGTACATCACTCAACAAACAAGTCCAAAAAATATCATTGAAGCCCAATTTAAAATCTTATTTAATTGTATATTAAAGTAAAAGCAAGATCTAGTGAAACAGGAAGCTACCAATGATAAGCATTTTACTAAACTAAGATATGTAGGTCTCACATATCGGTCATTGTAAATGTCACACGGTATAATGTTAAATGCTAAATGCTTTACGAAGAAACTGATGTGATATCCTTTACATATGACTTATTACTCCTGCTTAAACAGGACCTCTGCAACTTGTAGTATGCTCAACATGAAAGCAAGACCACAATTCATTATCAAAAGCAAAAGAAATCAGAAATAAAGAAGTAAAGAGTAGTGTTAGACCTCTTCCCTGCTTGCAAGCAAGAAGCGAAGGATACTCGGATCAGCGTCATTTACGTATTCCTCCTCATCAATTCTTTCACCTTCCCTTTCCACAATCTCTTTGCACTTTATTATAAGTTCTTCAACAGTTCTCCTAATGACTGTAACTGCTTGTTCAGCCTTTATTTGTCTTGGAATTACCTTGCACAAAGCTCTAATCTGCAACAAACATAAATGACAGTTTGTCATCAAAACAACAAACATGAAAAGCTAAACAAGGAAATGAAGAGGAACCTACCTTCCAATAGGGTAAAATATCTGTGGATCGTAACTCTGCCTCTTTCAGTGCAGTGTAAACTGCATCAATGACAGGGCTGTCAGATGTCAATGAATCAAAATTATAATTGAATACTGACAGACCAATGACATCAAGAGTCAATTGAGAAAACTTTTCTTCCATGTTTACAGCAGTGCCATCTAATGCAAAAGGTTGCAACTTCTGTACCAATCTCTCAGCACATTTGCAAAATACCCGGTCAACCATAACAGACAAATACTTCTTGTGAAGAGATGGAACCACAGCCCTGCGCCTCACCTATTACAAATCAGATTTTTCATGCTCAAAGTGAAAGAGAAATTAAATTTAACTAGACTACACGATAAAACCAGTTTCTAATAGTTATACATAGATTGATTATTTGTAGAAGTTAATCAGGACAATGAGCCCTCACTTTGACAAAAGAAGTAGGCCGAGCAATCAACGTACAAGGGATTTCACTCCTTTTTCTTAGTATGTAATAGTTCTACACCAATTTGCTAACACTCTATTTAACAAGATCTAGATTACAATGTAAACATACTACTAACACATAACTATCAAAGCTTGCATCAAAACGCATGATGAAGGAATGATATTTAAAATATTCACCCTAGTAACAAATGTTTAAGCTGGGAAACAAAAAATCTTCTAGTTGTAACAGAGAACTTGCACAGCAAAGAAGCAATCTAAATTTTCGTAAAAAAAAAAAGAACACAATTACATTCACTCAAATAGCCAATTCTTTGCAATGCAGTAAGGGAAACAGAAATTACCGTCCAAAGAGAACCTTCAGCAATGGCAAAACCCGATCCGAAAAGAAATTCGGAGACCTCAGAGACAAGTCCTTTAGCATACTTGCCATAATTCCTCAAAACATGCTTTGCCATGGCAGGGTCACTAACCACCACAAAATTCCTAGGACCAGCAGCAAGCCGATAGATGGGTCCATACTCATTCATCCACTTAAACAAAGGCAAAAACAAGGCACCACCAAGAAGTTCAGAGACATCCTCCAACTGAGCACTGGCTATGGGTATCCCTGAATCATCGTTGGAGCCAATCGTTAAGGACTTGGTCAAAGAAGTAAGCCAATTGGGGCTGACCCAAGAGGTGGACTTCGAAGGGCTTGTCGGTTTGGGTTTGGTGGCGGGACTTTTTTCAATGGAGGATTTAACTGAGAAAGATTGAAGTGGAATATTGATGGTTAGTCTTGGAGGAGGAAGGGAAGGGAAGGTTATAGAGCTAAGAGCAACACAAGAGTGCATGGTTTGTTGGATAACTTTTAGGATGAAACACTGTCAAGTTCGTTTGAATTGAGTTCAGTTCCGTCGCTCCCTTTCAAGCTAAACAACCCAAGATGTCTGGTTTGTGGTCAATTTTAACAAAAACAAAGAACAAAAGCGTATCCAAGACAACAGCCGAGGCTTAAACAAGTCAAGAGCTTTATTAATGACAACAAAACAAAGGTTAACGAACAACTAACAAGCTTTTCTTGATTGGGTTTTAGCCTTTTCGGCGCTTGACGGCTAGGATGGATTCAACGTTCACGTTGTTGGATCAAGTTTTTAAAGAGGCCCCGTGATAATGGCTTGCCAACCCAAGCTGCAATTTCCATTTTTGGGCTTATGGCAGACTTGTGCGACAGGGATTTGTCTATGTATGGCCACAAAACAATCACAAAGGTCTTAACAAAATTTTTTCTTTTCAGTGAAAATAATTTTGGTAAACCTTTATTTTGTCCAATTTTTTAAAAAAATCTTATTTTTTTATTACATTTTTATTAATCTTTTAAAACAATATTATTTTTATTTGAAATATCTTTTATTTTGAATGAAAACTATTGAAATCGCTCGTCTCTATCATATTAGAGTTTACATGACAAACAATGAAAGGAAAATAAATTTTTTATAACAGATTAAAGAAAAAATTTATATAAGAAAGAAAATAAAATTTTCACACATGAAAATCACTTTTTTTTTAAATTTCAATTTATGATTTATTCACTTAGCAAAATAATCAATATAACAACATGAAGAAATAAAAAAATTAAAATATTATATATATAATATTTTTAATATTAAAAAATATTTTAGATGTTTTGTATAATTGATGAATGTTGATATTTTTTTGGTGTCATGGTAATAAGATGGAAAATTTTCTAACAATGAGTTATAAAGAAAAATATTTTTGACAATTTATCTAAATAATAAAAAATATTTTCAAAGGCTTTTCTAATAAAATATTTTTACAAAAAAAAATTCTAGGTCATTTTTTTATTATTAAATGTAACCACAATAACAAGTTTGGTAATGGGACAAATTTTTAAAAGGGACAAATTGGATTTATATATATATATATATATATTCAATGAAACACCTATGTTTTTAATATTGTCAAAATATCTAAGAAGTCCTTGTATTAGGGCACTTTGTTCAATTTAGTCAGATTACATAAAATAGTAATAATTTAGTCTCTCAATTTTAAAAATTACTTCAATTTAATTCATCATTCTAATAATATCTAATTTTATAATTAAAAGAGATAATGTCAACGTTGACGTAATGCTAACGTGGTATATTTTGATGACATGACATCAACGTAATATCATGGTATGTCACGTGGTACAAATATGATGATGTTGTAGTACCATATAGCATTAATATGATGATATGATAATGCTGACGTGACATTGATATGTTAGCGTGTTAATGTCACGTAATTGATTAAACAAATATTCAAAAGAAATTTGTGTCATGTTATAGGTATTAAATTGAACAAAAATATATAGTATATGGACTAAATTGAACAAAATTAAAATATTAAGAGACTAAATTAAAAAAAAAATTAAAAAATATAAATATTCAAGTAGATGATAGGTATACTTATTAATAAGACAAACAATTAAATATAATAAATTTATGATATTAAAAAATATATAAATTTTTTTATTTGATTATTTGATTTTAGAATATATATATTAATTTAATTTTTTTACAAAAATTGAGTTTGAATTCTCCCATTATAAAAAAATTTCAAGAAAAATTTCATATTTAAAACCAAATTTTTAGATGAATAACTTGTATTATATTAAAATAAAATACTATAAAAGAATTAAATAATTTTTTTCATTATATTAGTGTCATATCAGCACTAACCTCCTTAACACTAAAATTAGATTCTATTGGGAGAGAGACTAAACCAAAATTGGATGTTATTGAAAAATAACATAAATTAAAGTAATTTTTAAAATTAAAAAATTAAATTATTACAATTTTAAATAAAAAATTTTAATTGAATAAAATACCTTAATACAAATACCTTTCAGATACTTTAATTTTTTTAATATTGACAAGCCGAAGGGTGTAGCCCCCGGCAACCCTGATTTCACCTTATGCATACTATGTAAATGACCATAAATAAAGAAATTATTCACATGATATATTACTTTTCAATGCCCACATGACATGCATTAAAAGTCATTGATAGACTTCAAATAATTGCCTATGCGTGGGATAATACTATGGCAGATGTTATTCGTCCCAATAGTTTTATTTATATGATAATATTTTGTTAATTGAATATTAAATATTTATTTATTTATGAATAAATCGACGACTCATAAATTGGTAAACCACAGCTTCAATTTTGTTCAATATATAATTTTTAACAAAAGATTAAGACAAAAAGATTAAAACAAGTAGCATTGCCGTATCCAATACCCATGTTATAATACCTTATTGCATCGCCAAGTACAAGAGAAAGAGTTTGGCAGATACAAGAATAAGATAAAGACAACTTTTCATAGAGATGGAATGCATCGAACAACACTAAGTTGGGAGTGAGCAAACTTAATATCATATTGATTTCATGTTTCTCTCGCTGTCTAATGATTAGGCAGTTGAATCCTGTTTAATCAACCAACCTTTTGTTGTACTTTTGTCTCACGGCAGTTATGTCCAGCTTGTTTCGACGCCTATGAGAACTTTGGGGACCAGCCAATTATTTTGAGCCATCCCAAAGTCTTTACTTCAAAGTTGACTTTTGTACATGTGTCAGTTTCAGAGTGGTGCAAGGGTAGTTGTATGACTTTTGGTACACCATTGTGTTTCTGCGTAGGAAGGAAATAAAGTAGACGAGTATGCTTCACAACAATGACCAGCAAGCTAACAATCTCCCTTTAGGTGGTAATACAATAGAAATAGTGGCAGTGTTGTTGCTACGTTATCTCCAGATTCTCCTAATTAATTCAGAAAGAAAAGATTCAGAAAAAGCTGAGAAAACAATGTTCAGGTTGCACAAAACAAGGCCAACTACATCAGGGGAGAAGATAGATTTTAAATTCTCCAACTTCAAAGCGGTTCAGGTAATTCATACTGCCATTTTCTTTCGTTCTTTTCCCAGTTTAGTGCTTTCGTTTGAATATTAAACGAGTGGAATACTGTGTTTTTCTGGGGTTTTGTGATAGGTACCGAAAGGATGGGACAGGTTGTTTATGTCCATAATCTCTGTGGAGAATGGAAAAACCATTGCAAAGACAAGCAAAGCAGTGGTCCGAAAAGGGACTTGTCAATGGACAGAGACTCTGCCAGAATCTATATGGGTCTCACGAAACGAGGCTTCCAATGTGATGGAGGATTGTCTCTTCAAGCTTGTTGTTGCCATGGTAAATGCTGATCATAGTTTGCAAGGATCGTTTTTCTGTTCCGTGATTGAATTTTGAACATCCTTCTTCTTTTGCTGGGGTGACGCATTCTTCTGTATATTCGTTCTTGTAAGCTTGATCCGGCCATGTTTATCCCTGGAACATGTCCGATTGAATTGAGTTGAGTAATAGATGATAACATTGCAAATTGAATGTTGGATTGTAGGGATCAGCTAGATCTGGCATTCTTGGAGAGGCTACAGTGAATATGACTGACTATATAAGTTCAACTGCCATTGTTCCAGTTTCATTGCCACTGAAAAAATGTAACCATGGGACAAATTTGCAAGTGAGTATCAACCCTCTGAGTTTCTCTACTTATTTTTCTCTTCAGTACAGATGTCTTGTTTGCTTATACAGCATCTCTTCTTAATTTGTTAGAAAATCTTTTTTTTCCCCCTCATTTTTGCTTCTAATTTTGCTTTTATTTAATTTTCCCTCCTATCTTCCTTAAAAACTGGCTATAAAGAGAAATTTAAAATGTCAGCCATACAGAACAGATGATATTCGTGATTCCTTGGTCACAAAAATGAAAAAATTATGGTAACTCGTTGTACCTGGCCCGTTGTAAAGCAGTGGGGCTGCCATAGGAGTCAGGGTCCTACGAGTAAACCTTTCTTTAATGGCTAAATCAATCATTCATTATACCAATATGTTTAACTCGAAAACAATATGGTTAACATTGCATTAAGGACATATGCCAGCAGTTACAAAGATTATTTGATGAAAACTGTTGCTCACAAGTAAAAAATTTCTCCAACGCTCTTAATTAGGGAAACCTTAGCCTTTATGAATGTGACTTGTTAGTAGTTACAATTGACGTTTGGAAAGAGATGAAGTTAAACTAAATCTTAGAAAGACGATCATTATGAGTCACTTACCAAATTTACTTCATTTTTCTAGAAATGAACAGTGTCTAAATTATTTCCAAAAACACTTTCACCTACTTTCTGTTTTTGGGTACAAGGGAGGGGCAGTGGCCCTAATCAAAGCTTTCACCTACTTACTTCAAAGCAAAACAACTATTTTCATCATGCCCTGGAATGATTTCAGGTCACATTAGCTGTGGGAAGCATCCTGTCAAACATTTCAGGTGCCCTGGTCAATAGCAATGGCGTTCAGATAGAAAATCAAGCCTACACATAAAAACCAAATCAAAATTTGATTCGATCCTTGAAATAAATCTAACTTGACTTAATAATTTTATATCATTCCTTAGTAACATGAAAGCGAGAATGCAGAAGCCAAAGCACGTCGCTAATCTGAATGAGACATAAATTGAAGCGAAGTTTTTGTTTCTAACGACATTGCACCTATGGTTTTGATATGCAGGTCAAAATTCATTGTTTGACACCAAGACCAAAACTCATGTTTGTATCATCCAGTGCCCTTGGGTCAGATTTTTCTTTCTTTTCTCCTCTTAAATGTTATATTAGACCATAAAGATTTGCTATATATGGATTATTTTAGGGATGAAGAAGCAAAGCAGACAAATTCCCATGGTGAAGGAAATAACACCGACCCTAGTCATATGAGCTTTAATTCGGATGGACCAGAGAGTGTCGAATTGCCACCTAGTCAAGATATGGTCTCTGCCCCGCACCAAGGAGAACTTGAGAGCAGGGTACGTTATGGTCTCATTTTCTCCTTCTTGAATTATTACATGAACAACCAATATGATATAGACTCAATAACTTAATCCATA